TGCCATTAATATGGGTATCGTTGTCTCTTTTTTCTCTCGTCAATAGTGGCCAAGAAGAAGCCCCCTTTCTAGGGTTTCCTCTCTTGGTATTTATAGCTGTGAGCTTCGTGAGCTGGCAATAAGTGGCCGTGACCACGTTGGGATTTCGCCTTCATGGTGGCGGATGGGCCGTGGCCTTGTTGACCGAATCAGATGAGGATTGAATATCGTTAATTCTGAGTGGTCGTGCCACTAATTAATCATGAATTAGCTTAAGACGGGATTAGCTTCGTTAATTATCGTGGGGTCGGATTCTGACCCATACAATGTTAATTTGATCAAACAATAGAATTGTGTATTTAATAATGTGATCTTTTAACAACTAAATTTTGGTCATGCTTCATGACCTCATAAATATTCAACAATAAAGGTAAAATAATAAAGAGAAATCAGAAGAATATATATAAAGAGGAGAAAATTGAATAATATAAACAAATATAGTCAAAAAAATGCTAACCAGCCATGGCTCTGTATATTATTAGAAGCCTTGTCAAGTTATTCTTAATAAGATAAAAATACCAATATGACTTTTATAATGTGAATAAGTTATATATATGAGTGGAGTACGTTGCAAGAAATTATATTGGAGTAGCCTTCAAGTTATTTTTTCGGATATGGAACTTCAAATTTATTTGGAGACTTATGACAGTGCAAGAAGGGCTAAAAAGTATATTCCTATACCAAAAATAATGATATGATTGGAATCGTTTTAACCACTAACTAGTATTAGAACCCATGGGTTGCGCGGTCAATATTAGAAATATTAATTATTTAATTATAATTTGTCTTTATAGTATATTATATCATGTTGCCTTAGTAAAATTTCAATTGGCATCTTACTTTTCAATACGATATTTCATTAACTAAACTATATGAAATTAAAGAAAAATGAATTATATAATCATCGTATAATATTTTTGTTTCTTATTTTTCTTTAGTATAAGTTTTATTATTTAATATTATTACATTATTAATATGACTATTTATTAACGTGTCACTTGGCTTAATATCATTTTCAACATTACTTCTCAAAAAAGTATTTTAAATTTTATTTTATTGTTCACAATTCTTCAATTTTCTAAATTTGTCAATAATATGTGTATTATTTACTTAATTTATTTTATTTTTCTAAATTAATTCAATCTTGAAATATCCTTATATTATCTCTATATTCATCTTTGTACATATTTTCTACTATAATATTATAATTAGTTTTTTTCATTTAAATTTTACATATAATCGAAATACTATCATATATAAATAACATTGTAATTTTGAGTTTTTAAAATATAAACAGAAAAGTAACTATTACCATTTTATCATATATTTATTGATATTTTTAATAATTGGTATTTTGTATTATTTTCCATAAGCAAATGAACTTTTGTTTTATCTCAACTCAAATATTTCTATAAATTATTTTCTTTATCAAGAAAATATTTGGAGTTGTTTATAGATATAAACTACCATATTAGGAAGAATTTGCTTCTAAATTTGAATTGATAGTTTGTTTTATTTTCTTCTTTACGTTTTTTATTTTAAAATTAATTTTAAAACTCTAAATTTGTAAACTCAAAGAAAGTAACTAATTATTAACAATACGTAATGCATAATTTAAATTTTTTAAAGATTTAAATTTAAAAAAAGTAATTATTACCTAACCTAATTAACTTTGTCCTAAATTACCATGTGGCCTATCGTGAAGCTGTTTACATATAATCGAGAAACTATCATATATAATAAAATTATAATTTTGATTTTTTTAAAAATATAAACAGAAAAGTAATTTTACTATCTTGTCATATATTTATTGATATTTCTATAATTGCTATTTTGTATTATTTTCTATAAGTAAATGAACTTTTGTCTTATCTCAACTCAGATATTTCTATCTATAAATTCAAAATCAAATTTTTTTTTCCTTTATCAAAAAAAAAAAACATTTGGCAGCTTTTTATAGATATTATCTACCATATTAGGAAGCAACTGCTCTAAAATTTGAATTGACAGTTTTATTTTACTTCTTCTTTTTATTTTTATTTTAAAATAATTTCAAAACTCTAAATTTGTAAAACTCAAAGAAAGTAACTAATTATTAACAATACATTATGTATAATTTAAATTTTTAAAAATTTAAAAATTAAAAAAAACTAATTAGTACCTAACCTAACTAACTTTGTCCTAAATTGCCTTGTGACCTATTGTGAAGTTGTTTAGATAAATTCGAAATACAATCAAATTGTAATTTTGATTTACTTTTTTTAAATATAAAAAATAAATTATTTTACTATTTTGTCATAAATTTACTGATATTTTTACTACTTGCTATTTTTGTATTATTTTCCATCAGCAAATGAACTTTCCTTTATCTCAACTCAAATGTTTTTATCTATAAATTCGAAATCAAATTATTTTCTTGATTAAAAAAATATTTGGCGGTTTTGTATAGATATAAACTACTATATCTATAGAAAAAAAAAAGGTACCATATCTTTATATATAGATATAGATATAAATACATAGATTAGATTTATATAAGATCTATTCATTCAACTATTTGCATTAATTATGTTTCCATTTGTAATTCAAATTTTTAATATTGTCTTAAAATTGCCAAGTGGATTCATTTTAGCTTGTCACTTGGCTTAACCACATATTTCACTACTTATCTTTTAATATAATATAGATTTATATGGTATCTACCGTACTAATTAATTTTGTATTACTTTTTTAGTAAGTTTGTTTTCAATTTTTTACATTTGATGAAGATAAATATATCTTTCATCGTAGTAAACAAGGTCTATTATATATTAATTAGTAAAAACTTTAAATATTCCTAACATTGTCTATATACTCGATTATAAATATTAGTTTTTTGTATAGCAAAAACAAATTATATAAGTAAATAAAAAGAAGAGTTTGTTTTTCAGAACGACTGTTGGGTTTTTTGGTTAAAGCCTAAATGGAAAATGGAGGAATACAAATATTTGAAATAATTTTTTTTACAAAGGAACTTTGTCTCTCATTGTAAATGAAGAGGGAGATTGTTGTGCTTCTATATAAAAACACTTGGGAAACTACCAGTTATGTCCATTTATAAGTAGCTCATTACAAAAATCGGCCAATTCATAAAATATTACTAATATTAGCAAGCCAATTAGCTATTTGTAACCAAAAAAGGCCAAAATTTTGCTTTCTTTTGAGTGAGTGTTATTAGAATAGGTACATTTTAAGGAGCTTGAATCTCATTTTTTGGATGATTTGGTGAAGTTTTGAGGTTATTTGAATTGAAAATTCGAAAACTGAACATGAAAAAAAATGATGTGTATCACACTATGTATCATTTGTGTAGCACATATGTATCATATTTTTATCAACTGTGTATCACACGTAGATATACATACTTGTTTGTGAGATACATGCGTGATACATGTGTCGCAGAAGAACTTTTTGAACTCGATTTAATTACGAATTTTGATACAACACCAGTCGAAATCACCTCCAATCTTCCTCAAATTTTATATATTAACTTATCTATACGTTCTCAATGAATTTCAACTATACCCATCGAAAAAGTTCCTTTTTTGCTTAGGTTTTTGAAATATTGTATTTTTTTTTTTTGTATTTCATCACCTTATTTGCTACCTTGGATCTAATGTTGCTAATCACGCTTAAAAATATGGAAGGAGATCTTTGCATGTGATTCTTGGAGAGAGAACCTTATTTATTTGGCTTTTCAATTTTTATACGTGCTTCGCTAGTTTTGGTAAGTCTGTGACTAATGGCTAAAGGTTGGTAAGTTGAGACTTATTCGGGACATTTGTGTAAGTTTCCCAAAACACTTCTAGTTGTTAAAAAGTTGAGCAGAAAGCAAGCATCATGCCCTCATTGCTTTAGCTTTCGTTTTAGATTGATATACTTTTTGGATCAAGTTTATTTATCCCTTTTCATTTATTTTTTTGGTCTTTTTCGCGTGAAATTGTAATTTAAAATTTTGCCATTTCTTTTGCCAATGGTGATTTGCAACCAAATAATACCTAACAAAATTTTGAACTTTTTTTCCCGAAGAAACATCTTACTATGAACAAGCATCTTTGCACCTGTTAACACTTCAACTCGTTGGCTGTAAATTTCGGGGCTTAGCCAGTTAGCCTCATTTTTCGCCACAAAAAATCTGCAAACTCTCTCCTCTCTGTACTGCATTCCAGCATCATTTCAGAAGCAAATTACTTCATCATTTGAGTTCGCCAAAGTTTTGTAATTTGTACTGTCGCTATTACAAAATAGCTTTTTGTTCTATCCTGAGAGGATTAATCCAAATACCTCAGGCGACAGTAAGAGGATTAAATTTTTTGAAGGCTCCTCAAGCAATAATAATGAATGATAAAAAATGGTACCTTAGACAGGGAACATATATATATATGTGTGTGTGTGAAAAACACTAAAATCTTTACAAATATTAGATTTTAAACTCATAATTTCAATGATAGAATAAGTTAGTGCTAAGAATTAAAGGTTGAACTCATCAAGTTTAAATCTTGGATTCACCTCAGCTCAGGACAATGCATGTTATGGTTTGAACCAATATGTGAAGTGTCCAAGGTTGGCTTTTGTGTTTTGTCCCGGCGAGCAAGGACGGAGACACAAGCCGGCCTGCAGGTTCGGCCAAACCCAATAGCTTTTGCTCAAACAGTGTATTTGGTGTTTTGAATCTATGAAATATGTATAAATATTAAATCTAGAACCCAGTCATTAATACTTGAAGTCGTGGTCCCAAAATCCAAAATCAATAAGGTTGAAATTCTGACTTCACCTCTACCGGCAAGCTTCTTTAGGTCATTTAATTTGGTGATTATATTTGTGTCTGCTTTCTTCAAAATCCTTGCTGGTTGAAATAAGATGACAATGCTTCAAGTAGAGCTTAAAGATTCATGGTTTTCAGGTTGTAACATGTACAAGAATATTCCACCAGCTACTGAAACATTAAGAGACTCAAATTCTCCTGCCATTGGAATACTCACAAGCTCACTTGCATCCTTAGCTTTCTCAGAAAGGCCACCACCTTCACTGCCCAAAACTAGACACAGGGGCTTATCTGCTAATGAATCTGCAAAGTCTCGTGAGAGCCTAGAAAGTCTCCTTGGCCTTTGATCGTTTGCAGGATGGCCGGCCAGCATCTTCATGTTATAATGGTTTCTTAGAGCATCTAAGTGGAGCCAACCACCGGAAACTAAGGGGAGCTGAAAGGAAGCTCCTCGACTAGCTCTAAGCGCCTTCTCATTGAAAGGATCGCAACAGCCAGGTAGTAGAAAGGCACCGCCCTGCCAAAGATGGAGGAGTTTTACTTAGTTGGCAAATTATTCCAGCCAATGGAAAGATAGATCCAATTTGTAGATGGTACTTGCTTTAGCATATTATTAATGTGCAATAGAGCCTAGAATGTTTATCCTATGTAACTTCGATAAGATTATTTTTCAGTTACAAAAAGCATTACTAGTGCTTGACCACAAGTATCAACTGACATGATCATAATCGGAACAGAACCCTTAATGAATAAAGTAGATTCGGCATCAATAAATAAACATTGTCCTTCGCAAACAAATATAGTTTAGTGAAGCAGAAGCAGTAACCACGCTGAGAATGTGAAAACGTCAAACAAATTCAGTGTATACGCAGTACTACAGAGCACAAAGGGAATTGACCATTGAAGGAAATAAAGGACAATATCTCTGAAATCAAAATTAGTTAAAATATCCCCTTACCCATCCAAATGCCAACGCTGATCTAAGTAATGTGCCAAGATTACCAGGGTCCTGCATCAATCAGTATGGAAATTAAGAAAGCCTTGACGAAAGCAATATTAGTGTCATTTAATGGATTTACAGTCATTTAATGGATTAGTGTCAAACAAAAGAAAAGTTTAAAAAAGATTTAAGTAGCATTCCTGGTCACTGCTGATTAGCAGTCCCAGATTCTTCTGACTAGAAAAAGCAACGGATTCTAAAGGTAACTAAGATCAGAGTCCAAATTACCTGGATTCCATCAAGAACTAGAATTCGATGAGCATTCTGGAACCATCTAGTGCAGTCTTCCTCTAGAAACTTATCATCAACGCTGTGAAATGTTGAGGGTATTTTCATTAACGCAATCATTTCAATAGAATCAATGGACTGTAAACCAGAGAGTTTCTTCATCACCGTTGAGCTGATGCGGACAAGGCGAACTGATTGAAGATTTAGGCCATCGGGTACAGGAGCTTCATCAAGTACAAGTAAGCATTCTAATGCAATAGGTCTCTCTTGTACTCTTTCTTGAAAACAATATATTTCCCTGAGAAAGGTCAGATAGATGAGTTTAATCAGCACCAAGACAACATTGTCTAAATTTGAACTAATTCAAGAGATTTTCCTTCTACTTTGTCAAACTTTTACAGGAAGATGTACCTCTTCAAAGATCAAACTTTCAAATGACAAACCAAGAGGTATCTGTAGGGCCACGTCGCTCAAAATTTCAAATAAGCAGATTGAAGAATGCAAATAAAATAAAACAAAAATAAAATGAAAAGAATGAGTAAAAAATATGAACAAGTGCAAAAGATAACAAACCAACAATTCATAAGGGAGCACGTAAGAAAGGACATAGCTAAGAAGAAAATACTCAGCAGAAAGTTATCCAATCTATATATCATAGCAATAAAAGATGAAAATGAACTCTTAAACTAAAAAAATGAGGTTAGGCAGTTCTAAAAGTACACATATCACATATGAAGCTGTCCCTTTAAGATTTGATGCTGTCCACATCCTCTCATTTCACCAGTTGATATAAGCAGAGCCATTATAAGAAGGAACGATAAGAAGGCAACTCAATATTGTTCATTATAAGCATTCGATTGGAAACATGAAAAGCACAAGGCAACTCAATATTGTTCCTATGGGGTAAGTTTTTTGAGATCAATGCTCCGTCATTTCTCACTACATCATCACACATTTCAATCATCTCTGCTATTACTCTCTCAAGTATATCGAGATTCCATGATATATCAAAAGAAAGCAAGCCCCTATGGAACTAATAGCCTATTTGGCCAAGTTTCTGGGACGCCAAAAGTACAGTGTTTGGCCAAGCTTTTAGGAAAAAGATAAGTGCTTTTGGTAGTGGCGGAAGCTGTTTTTCAAAATTTCTAGCCAAAGACAAACTGCCGCTCTCCAAAAGTACTTTTCGAAAAGCATTATAAACAAAAACACTTGTAAAAATAAATAGATTTTGGAAGCTTGGTCAAACATGCTATAAATAATCTTCTAAGTTCTAACTCGGCATTAAGGCAAATGGCTTCACAATCCAATTACTATAACAGCTTGGCATTAAAATTTAAGTCTCAAGCTAAAGGACTTAGCCTGAGCGAACGACAATAAACAAGGACTAAGACATCAAGTTAAGGACATGAGATGGCTAAACTCAGTATAGAACTTAGGTAAAAAAGAAAACAAAAAAAATACAACAACATACACAGTATTATCCCACAAAAAGAATAAAAAAGAACCATACATATGGGCAAAAGAAAAGGAGAATTTTCTAACTCCTAATAAAAGGGCAGTCTGGTACACTAAGCTCCCGCTATGTGCAAAGTACGGGTAAGGGCCGAACTACAAGGGTCTATTATACGCCGCCTTACCCTGCATTTCTGCAAGAGGCTATTTCCACGGCTCGAACCCGTGACCTTCTGGTCACATGACAACAACTTTACCGGCTATGCCAAGGCTCCCCTTCAATTATCTCATTCTTTAAGTAAACCACTACTAGATAGTTATTTTGAAATTAACAAATTTCATTGTCTTCAATACATGGCTATTAGTGAATAGCAACCCAAATCAAAGTACGTAACAAAACTGAGTAACTTAAAATTTTACTGATTAAATCAGATGAAATAATCCAAACCAAAGACAAAGAGACACTTAAAGTTTCAAAAAGGGAAAAAAAGAATTCAATTTAAAGAAAAAGAATTTACCTAATAGGGGTAGAGCCAACAAGAAGAACAGAACCATGAGAATGGCGATAAGAGGAACTCTGGCGAAGCTTAAGGCAGTGTTTAACAAAAGGGTTTGAAGTACTTGTGATTGATTTCACATGAAACGGTAAAGATTCAACCTTTTCAGATATATTCTCATTATTAATAATATCAGTTGCAGAATTTGGCTTTGAGCTACATGGTTGAATTTTGGTCCTATATTCTAAAGTTGAAGACTTCAAATCCAAATTTGAAGCATTAATTTGTAGAAAATGGACAGGAGAAATCCAACAAGTGTTTATGGATTGCATTGTTGACTCGCTTTGTTTTCATTTTTGTACAGAATAAGTGTATAAATGGACATTTTTTAATAAATTACAATAACGCCTATATACCTGGATTAATTGCAAATAGATCCTTTTGTTTTGCAGATCGTCCATTTGGTCCCTAGTATTTGTTATTTGATTCGTTGACAAAGTTATGCCGGAATTATAATACGAACATTATCAATACCGGAAATACTGGATAATTAAGTGCATACACTTTTTGACGAATGTTTATAATGTGTATTGTTTGACTCAAAAGATATTACAACCTTTTTGAATAAATCAACTAAAGAAAATGATGTGGTAAATCTTAGCTAAGTATAATAATCTCTAGAACTAAGAAGATATACAATGAACACAACGGATAATCCTTTCCGATCTTGTGAGGATCAACAATTGAGCGTTAGAAAATGCTGATAGAAAAGTATTACAATCACTGTTTTTGTCTTAGAGAGAAGTACATCAGAAGAGAGGTCCCCTTTACAGGGTTGTTCTCCCCCTATATATAAGGGACAGACCCCTTCTAGATCCTACAAAACATATTATGGGGAATATTCGGAAGGAATATTCCTAGCGCCCCCTATCGAACCTATGCTGAGCTGCGATGATCTTGCCGTTGGTCGTGTTCATCGGTGGTCGGGGTTGTTCAAATTTTGACCCATACAGTTAGTCCCTCCGCTTGTCGAGGTCGCAACTCGATGCGTCCTTGATAAGCGGACGCCGTTCACCATTCGTGGAGAAATTTGATTTCATGGAGCGTCAAGACCTGGCTAACAGTGGGGGGTCAATGTGCTAAACAAGACACTGGTATTGTGTCTTATCAGGAGATGACGTCATCTGCCTTTTCATCATCATTGTGCGTGTTTCCAAGACAGGGACTGACGGCATGTCGCTTCGGTTTTGGTACCAACCTGCAGTCTTTTGCCTCGATCCCGGTGCTACTCTGCAGCTTTTCGCTTTGATTCCGCTGCTACCCAATCCTATAAATAGGTGGAGGGTTTGTTTTTTCAGAAACTCTTGGCCATTTCACTTCCGGTTATTCTTCCTCATCTTTGCTGCATTCGTTCTCAAGGTTTTCTGCTTCTTATTCTTTCATTCTCCACCCACAGCTTTCTCTGTTATTCTAACTTCTTTCCCGTTAAAGCAATGCCTAGAACACATCAATTCCATGAAGAGGTTTCTGAGGCGGACCCGCTGTCCTTGGTATTCCCCTCTGGTCGCGAGGACACTGTGGTGGAAGAGGGGGGAAGCTTTCCTATCGTGGAGGAATTGCCACCAAGGCACCCCACCCCTCGGAGTGACCTCCTCAAAGATCCTCCTCCTACTCCTCCCCCAGTGATCTCTGAAATGGACCAAGATCTTATAGACACTCTCCGTGTAAAGTATAGTATCCCCGCCCATGTAGATATGGTTCCGGCGGGCATGGACTTCGTGGACGTCCACAGACCTGGGTACTGCGCCTTTTACGAGTACCCTTTCATGATTGGTTATTCTTTCCCCCTTCCTCAGCTGGCGGAGGAATTTTGTAGATTCTATCAAGTCTACCCGGCACAACTCTCACCATATACGCTTAAGGTACTTCTACTACTGACAAAGTATGCGGAGTTGGCGGGGTGTGAGGTGACGGTCCACCATCTCTTGCACCTGTTCTCGCCTAGCTTTCATAGGGGCACCATGGTGCACTTGAGACATCGTGGAACGAAGGGGCTGGTAGTAGGGACTGACGACCGAGCAAGCCGCAAGTTTTGGCATAATACTTATTTGTCAAAACTGAACACGTTGCCTCCGATCCTGCTAGGTTCCCAGAACGGTGGAACGAGACTCGTAAGCATCGCTACTTACATTATTCCTTCTTCTCTTCTTCGTTCCTTATAGTTTGTTTGCTTCTTGCTCATAGCTTTGGGGCGTCCACCCCGCCCTATTGCTGGCATAATTGATTGGGTAGCTCGTCTGTTGCCCCATGCAGCGGAGACCCGAGATTGGCCTTCCTTCATGAGATGTTATGGCCCCAAGGTTTCATTTGGTAAGTATCTTCCTCTACGTCACGTCGTCGGTCATACATCGTTAACTACTGATACGATTCTTCATGATGATAGGTCGTGGAGTTTCCAGGCGGAGGCCCCCATTCCCTGCATTCCGACAGGCCGTTTCTGCTGCGGGAATGAAATTTACCTTAGCCGAATCCGTTCGAGGGGGTTGTACTCAACCACTCCAGATAGAAGGTTCCTCTCGAGGTTTGGTCGTGAGGGAAGAGGCCTCTTCTGTTCCGAGCCCTCACCTCTTGGATGAATTCTCTAATGGGGATGAGTCATCACTGCAAAAGAAGAGGAGAGTGGAGCTTGGAAAGGGGGTGGCCGTAGACACTAGTAGAAGCCGAGTGGGTGCATCGCAGACGGCACCTGTGCCTACTTTTATGGCCGACGCTATCTTGGCGGTTAGGTCTCCCCAAGCGGAAGGAGCTCTCCCAGAAGGTGGCTCGGTGCGCTCCATAGAGGGTGGCACGTCTTCCAATGTTAGAGGGGGCCCGCGTGTTGAGGGTGATGGCTCAGGTTCGGACGTAGATCCGGTGGATGTCCGTGAATTTGTGGAACGCCACACTCATGTAGAGGTCAGGACGGAGGGTTCCGATCGACATATAGTTATCCCCGGAAATTACAACTTGCTGTCAAACTATGAGCAGGTGGCTTCTGCCTTAGCCCCTTTATGTGCTGCCCCCGAAAACGAGGTGCTCAGGACAATGAGCGACGTGGAGTTATCTCGGAGCGTTGCCGGCATGTCTTTGCAGGTGAAGTTTTCTTTTCTTTCTTGCCATTTGGGTTTTTGTCGCTATTTCTTGCCTGTCTTTTCTTTTAACTTCTTCCTTTATGGCAGACTCTCATCATGGAGACCGACTGTGAGCGCAGGGAAAGAAAAAGAACATCCATCTACTGGAAGATGTCTTCCAAATATCAACAATATCGCACCAAGCACCGTGTGATGGCCGATATCTATACTCAGGACCCGGACTTCCAATTGTTTCGTGAAGGGCTTAAGCTAAGGGAAGACCAATTGGCGCACAAGATCGAAGAGTTGAGGGAGCAAGACGAGGACCTTGTGAAAGCCATCGTCCGCGATAGCGAGCTCGAAGTGTCTCTTAAGGTGAAGGAGGACGAGCTGGAGTTAAGTAGGGGCGTGGTGGCTGAGAACGCCGACTTGCATGCAAAGGTGGCCGATTTGACTGCCGAATAGAGTACGAAGTCAGTGAAAATTGATGGGCTTAGGAGTGAGCTGAATGTGGGTGCTGACAGACTGGCGGCCACTATTTCTGAAGCGGCGGTTTTGGAACATACCCTCCGTACCTGTAGGTCGGAGCGGGCCAAAGAAGAAGAGGCTTCTGCACTCAAAGTGGCGGGGCTTGAGGGTCGTGTTAAGGAGTTGGAGGTAGAGTTGTCCGTGTTGACCGGGCAGGTGTCTTCGCTGAGGACGGAGGATGCGAATCAACGTCAACAACCTTCTACTTCCCATACCTCGGCCGAACCTGTCGTGCCTCATCGTTCATACGAGTTGTGGGTTTATGCTGAGGCCCGCCTCGATGTGTATAAGGCTCTTTTTGCTGAAGGGAGAGCGTCTGAAGCGGAACTTCAGGGTATGCGTGCCGAAGCTCGTTCGGCTCGCGAGGCATGTGGGTACGACCCTCGTACGCCTAATGGGGATGAAGTCATCTCTGATAATGCAAACCGCCTTACCTCCGACTCTTGGTATGAGGATGCCTACCCAACCGGGGATGGTGTGTACTTTTGTAGTTACTTTTTTGTTTCAAGATTTTTGTAAGGGCATGCTTGAGCCCGTTGTTAGTGACTTTTGCTGTAAATGAAGAAATTATTTTGTCGTTTTGGTGGTGATCTTTATGATACTTATAGTGTTTCGAATACTTGTCGAACTTTTTGGCGGATTTTGCTTTGGGTGAGGTCGGACTCGTACTTTTGTCTTAGCTATTGGGATGTTACTTTCGATCTGGCATCAAAGTAGGATCCCGTCGTGGTTCGAATGAAGTCGAACTCGTTTTTCATCGATGGCCTTAGCCATTGGGATGTTACTTTCGATCTGTCGTCGAAGCAGGATCCCGTCGTAGTTCGAGTGAAATCGAAATCGTTTTTCGTCGATGGCCTTAGCCATTGGGATTTTACTTTCGATCTGGTGTCGAAGTAGGATCCCGTCGTGGTTCGAATGAAGTCGAACTCATTTTTTGTCGATGGCCTTAGCCATTGGGATGTTACTTTCGATCTGTCGTCGAAGTAGGATCTCGTCGTAGTTCGAGAGAATTCGAACTCGTTTTTTGTCTATGGCCTTATCCATTGGGATTTTACTTTCGATCTGTCGTCGAAGTAGGATCCCGTCGTAGTTCGAGTGAAGTCGAACTCGTTTTTCGTCGATGGCCTTAGCCATTGGGATTTTACTTTCGATCTGGTGTCGAAGTAGGATCCCGTCGTGGTTCGAATGAAGTCGAACTCATTTTTCATCGATGGCCTTAGCCATTGGGATATTACTTTCGATCTGTCGTCGAAGTAGGATCCCGTCGCAGTTCGAGTGAAGTAGAACTCGTTTTTCGTCGATGGCCTTAGCCATTACGATTTTCATTCGTACATTGGAGATTTTGATTATATTTCCGTAGAAAATACATGTCGATGGCCTTAGCCATTGCGATTTTCATTCGTACATTGGAGATCATTCGTACATTGGAGATTTTGATTATATTTCCGTAGAAAATACATGTCGACTTTGCGAGTACAGTGAATACAGTGGCTATCTATGCCTAGTCCTTTCATTAATTGGCCTGGAGATCTTGTCACCGGGCGGTGTAATGAACAATACTTCGGGCCTCGAGATGTCTCCTTTGCTGCCTCATTAAAAACCTCACCGAGAAAACCCGATTGGGACAAAACCCGGATGAGGGAAAAAGAGTACAGCTTAGGCGCCTCTTTTCAGAAGTGGAAGTATTTGAGGTGGGCGATATTCCATTTATTTTGTAGTAGCTTTC